TTCGAGCTAGTAATTATCACGAGTACAAATCGAGTGCCCACGCAATTCTCGGGTCCAATATATGAACCGCATTCAAATATCGTCATTGGGGTGTACTGCAATCCCCACGTTACGTCATCAAATTTTGCAAAGGAGAGATTGCATGAAAATGATCGCTTTTGTCCTTGAAATTACACCGCAACAAGGGCGTTCTTGGCCAGTGGCGTTGCGTGCGAGTAGCCTTGAGTTCCACTAGGTCCAATAAGGTCATGTAAAGTGAAAAAAATTCCAATTAAATATCGTTGCACCGCTCCTTTAAATTAGTCGAGTCCCATTTTTAGAGCTCACGACCACCGCTAGGAGCTGTTTCGCGGTCTGTGGTTGGCCACGAGATGCTCATCTATTCAAGCCAATAAACGGCCAAACTTTCCCTATATGCGGCTCTGGTGGAAGGCCGACCACAGCGACGCTTTCGACCGCGCACGTCGCCAGTACTCAGTTTTATACAACGTTGGTTTGGTTTCATATCTAAAGGCTCTGTTATACTCCGACGTAACGCGCGCGCAGGCGAACGCTGGCCGAAGTCGGCTACGTCACGTCAGTCACGCCGCGCGCGTCAAAAATTCGCCCTCTTTATACTCCGGCGGTCCTGGCGACTCCCGCGGCTGTGCGTCGGTGGGCCACCGGCGTGGCGCATGCGCAGAATCTGACTACGAGGGCACGTTTCCTGTGAGAGTGCGCCATTTCCGGTTCCTTTTCATTTCGAATAGCAGACGAGAATGCTCGCGCTTCTTGAGCGCCAAGTTCGAGCGATGGCGTGGACGTACCTTGCACGACGAAAACTCGCGCTTGCACTGTTGGTGCACCACCTGAGCCGCAAGCGTAGGCGGTCAATGTACATACGGTACATCTTTGACAAGCGCACGGTCTACGGTACTCAAGCTTCTTCGCGTCGTAGGCACACGGGTGAGGACGAGTTCCCTCGATGAGCTTCTCGGCCGACCGAGTCCGATTCTTCAAACATAACGCCACACGGAGTGGTGCTCCTGTCGTCTGCTATTGCTCGTATTCGCCGCGCTTCCCGCGCGAGGGCTGCCGGGAGCCAGCGCGTGATGCATCCTGGTCCGGCGTCGCCGGCGCGGCCGGCGCGGAATACCGCATGCTCCATTTTGGCGTCGAAGCAGTCAGGCTGCGTCGAACGCCGCCGGTCGCGTCGGCTACGCCACGACGCCGGAGTATAGAGCGTCGGGTTTTCGCCGACGTGACGTCGCTGTGACGCGCTCGCACGCGCGCACGCGTTACGTCGGAGTATAACAGAGCCTTAAAGGCCAGTTCACACACGCAGCGGAGCGCTACAAGCATAGCGCTGACCTCGCGCTACGCGCGTGCTGACGGGAGCGTTTCTCAGCTTTGTATTTCATCGTAAAAACTGTTGCTCATGGCAGGCGATAAGTAGCTGACGACACGTTTAACAGCATTGTATTAGCGCTTCGCTGCATGTGAGAACCGGCCTTTTATGTACAGCGGTAAAAGCTGCTGCCGCAAGCATTGACCTTGATATCATTAATCATTTGCACGCGTTCTCGCAAAAATAACAACAACAACAAAACAATAATAGGTGAAGCCACGCGTTCGCGCCAGTAGCTTTGACATCATTGTATATTAAGGTGCAACCCCACCCCTGGTTAGTGTGATTCTGAACCAACAGATGGCGGTGGGATCGCCTTCCAGGCCTGTACATCAATGCGAGAAATCGTGTATGGTTGCGCTTCGATACAGTTGGATATTCTTCTATATCCAGAATTTGACATCCCTGGTCCCTTGGTTGGTTTTCTCTGCACGAGCTTTCTTTGGAACGCGCACGGCTGCGCCAGTTCTCGTGCAAGGGGGCCAGTTACCACGCTCCGAGCTCACGTCTCCAGCAAATGTAGGCAGAACAAAACGCAAAAATCGTCCTGAGTCAAATGGCGAGACACATGCACAACAAAAATACCGACGCGTTGAAATATATAAAATTGCCGGTGCGCCGTTATCGGAGATTTTAGAGGCCAATGACACAGATTACAATGTGATCAGATTTATACTGATACGAATGAAGGTGAGGAGAGGGCGAACAGTGAGCTGAAAAATAAAGGTTTAATCGGCGAACTTGTTCCAAACAAAAAAAAGTAAACAAAGAGCGTCGAGGCAGCAGAAAAGCAGGCGGCGATTCGGCAGCGTAACAAAGAGCGAGAGCGAGACTGACTCGACAAGGTCGCTGGCAGCTGCTTATCTAGAGTGCGTCACGTCACCATCTCGAAAGTTCGGCAATGAAGGTTCGAGCGTCGCGCGTTCGGGGCGAGAATGAACTGGCACTTTCGAGGACAAGAAAACAGGGCGAAAGTTCCGTCTGGTGCAAGAATGAACGCGAATCTTCCAGAAGTCCGTGACCGAGCGTTGCTTTCTCGGCTCTGCGGGTGGAAATATGACGGGCCGGCCCTTTTATCGTGCATGTGTTTGGATCTTTGTGGATTTCCAGCAAAACGCAAAACAGGCCAAAAATGGGCTCCGTTTTTCCCATTGAAATTTTCAGAAAATCACCTATAACTTTTGAATAAGGTGTCCGTTCGGGATGAAACTTTGGCATCTGGTTGTGACCTTTGGGCGGAGAATGAGCGTTAGGCAATACGTAGTTTATTTTCGCAGTAAAAAAAAACACCCTGTAAATTGTTTTCGTTACATCCTGTGCCAGTCTTAATTTGGCGATTCATGCGCGCAAGTAGTGGTGTGCAAAAATGAAAACGATGCAAACGGGTAGGCTTTGACGTTGTATAAAATATAGTGTAAGCACGCACATGGTTCGCTGATTAAGAATGAAACAGCCCTACGTTTTACACTAGCGTTGAGCGTGTCGAAAGTTAAGGGTGCACCAAAAGCTAAAGCTTGTACACATATACTGCTCAGGCCATTGTGTTTGAATGCTCATAGTAATTTATTGCCCTCAAATTTGGTGTAAGTTGTCTCCTGATTGCGTACAACAGAAAGAAGGAAACATTCTAACTCTGGGTTGGTAGAAAAACTCCTCCTGCTGACGGCCACCAATCATCTCGGCGCCGATTATGAGTATTCACTGCATGCCAACGGTCGCGTGTTTAGAACGAGTTTTTTCCACGTGATTTCATACGATCGCAATTGTCCTTGACAAACAACAATGTTTAGTCAGGCGAGTGGTCATATGTGAAGCTTAGAATAGTTTGTATTGGTTGTGGCACACGTGGCAAGTTGCATAATTTTTTTTTTTTAGAATTCGGGGAAAGGATGTTTTTGGGTTACCTTGGTTTCTAATAATTCATGTAGCACACAAATGAGCACGAACTGAATCGCTGTGGGAAACGAAAAACAATAATGATAAACAAGCGTGTAATCACGCGAAAACTGAGGGCACTGTTGCAGTCGCTGCGGGTCGTCAGAGTAATCGTTCCATTGTCACACAACGAGCAACACTTTAATATTTACACCGCTGAGAATAATACATCGACATTCGAAAGCTTGCAAGGTCAAGACGTTCAATCGTTCACGTTCATCGTCGTCGTCGTCGTCATCGTTCCCTTTTTTTTCTTTTTTCCGCTTTTCGTACGCACGTGCCAGGGCAGCTTACCAGACTTCTTTCTTTTCTACTTCTACTTCCTGTTCGTCTAACGCCAACAGAGGTTTGTCCGACGTTAGTTGCAACACACTCCCCACCGAATGGGTTTGCCCATTCTAAATTTCAGTTACTTCTGTTGGATAAAGCAATTGTACCGGTCGTTTCAGCAACAATCCCCTGTTTAAACGCACGACACATGAACGAATCTTTCCATCTCGACCCAGAAAGACTTCTTCAATCCTGCCCATCTTCCACAGCAAACGTGGAAGCTGCTCCTTAAGCAGGACAAGGTGTCCAACCTCAATAGGTGTGGATTTCCGTTGCTTGCTTTCATAGGCGGATCGGAGCTTTCTTAGATACTCCGATCGCCACGTCTCCCAAAATCTGTTCAGAACCTCCTTTCTGCGTCTCCAAAGCTGGCGGAGCACCTCAGGTGACGAAGCGAAGTCTTTTTTCTCCGCCACCGGAAGCGCCGTCAGCCTTCGTCCCGTGAGGAAGCTTGCAGGAGTTAGCGACTCGCTCTCGTCGATCTCATTGTAGACAACTGTGAGAGGCCGTGAATTCACTACTGCTTCAATCTCGCACAGAACTGTATGTAATTCTTCCGAGTCCAAACATTTTTTACCGATCACTTTCCTGAGCCCAACTTTCACCGATCGGACGAGTCGCTCGTAGAAGCCTCCCTACCATGGTGCCCGCTCAACAATATAGCGCCACTCAATATTTGCGTTGGCAAAGTGGTCTACCACCTCTGGATGTCGGAGCGTCTTCCAGAGTTCGGCCAAGTCTTTGGACGCCCTCTTGAAGGACAGCGCATTGTCCGAGTACACGATGCGACACAAACCCCTTCGCGACGCGAACCTTCGGAACGCAAGCAGGAAGCTTTTTGTCCGGCACGAGCTCCAAGTGCACCGCGCGCGTGACAGCACAGGTAAACAAGGCAATGTATGACTTATGCGTGAGTTCATTTTCTCGCACGTACATCGGCCCCGCAAAGTCTATGCCGACTACCTCAAAGGGATCTGCTTGCGTGGTTCTTGTACCCGGCAAAGGTCCCGTTGGAGCACTGGCAGGAGTGGCACTGAACCTCTGGCAGGTAACGCAAGCATGCACCACCTTCTTCACCAATTGTCTTCCGCGGATGATCCAGTATCTCTCGCGAAGCTGCATGAGAGTGTCTCGTGGCCCCCCGTGCATCATCTTTCGGTGAGCTTCGATGGTCAGCAAGGTAGAATACCGGTGCTCGTTGGGCAGCACGATATGTTCACGTTCATCCCTAGTAAGGTTTGCTGATCGGATACGGCCTTTGATCCGGAGCACTCCCTCTTGGTCGACGAACGTTTGGAAATTTCGCAAGGCTGAACCAGGCGGCGCTGCTTTTTTTCCAGCTGCACAACTAATCTCGGAGGCAAACGTCGAGCTTTGTGCCTTCTTTATCCAAACGGTTTGTGCTGCTTGGATCTCCTCAGCGCTCAGCGATCCAGTAGTTTTGATTGGTGATCGAAGGTTATGGACAAACCGAAGCACCCAGGCTGTTGTTCGGTGCAGTCTCGCAGCCGAACTGAATCTCGAGATGTCCATGAACTCCACGGACGTGTCTGCAGGCACTAGCGTGACTACAGCTTTCGAAGCTTTCTCCTCGAGCTTGTCGTGGGAAAGCACCCCAACAGTTTCTTCGGGCCATTCGGTTGCTGGAAGCTGTAACCAAGTTGGTCCGGTCCACCAGAGTGCAGCAGAAAGCAGTCGATCAGCTTTCAGCCCTCGGGTCATCAAATCTGCGGGATTTTCCTTACCCGGGCAGTGGTGCCACTTGGCGTCCCCTGAGTTTCCTTGTATCTCCAGTACTCGGTTTTTGACAAACGTTTTCCATCTGGAGGCCTCTCCTCTTATCCAGTGCAAAGTGATCATCGAGTCCGTCCAAAAATGAACTTCGTCCACCTGGATTTTGAGGCATGTCTTGACGTACTTCAGTAGTCTCGATCCGATCAAGCTTGCCATGAGCTCCAGTCTCGCCAAGGAAATTTCCTTCAGGGGGGCGACGCGGCACTTAGCGAACAATATTGTCGCCTTCTTCGTTCCGCTGTCGTCAGTTGAACACAGAAAAATAATCGATCCGTAGGCGGAAGAGCTGGCGTCCGAGAACACATGCAACGCTCTGTGTATGATCATGTTGCTCAGTCCGCTGTCGTAGTACCTGGGCACACTGATCTGACCCAGTTTGGTGAGCTCGTCGCACCAACTCTCCCAGTCTCCCATCAGTTCACCCGGCAGTGTATCATACCAACGCAGGTTCCGCTTCCAGATCTCTTGAAACAAAATCTTGGCTCGGGTCACGAAAGGAGAGAGGAAACCGAGTGGGTCGTAGAGTCGCGCCGTGGTCTGGAGCACGAATCGCTTGGTGTTTCTGCGTTGGCTTGTAAACTCGACCACCTGTTCTGTTGTGAAAGACAGTTTGTCTTCGTTCGACTCCCAGGTTATATCCAGCACTTTCACCACTCCCGTCAGCTGTCCAAGGACTCTCTCTTCGGATACGTTGTCCTCCAGCATTTTCTTTAGGACCGCGCTGTTGCACCCCCACTTATGAAGCTTCATACCAGCTGCCCCGAATATTTTGGTCGCCTCGGTGTAGAACTTCTGGGCCGCCTCCTCACTTTCTGTGCCGATCAAGAGGTCCTCCACATACACTGATTTTTTCAGTTTTTCTGCTGTTTGTGGGAACTTGCTTTCCATAACCTTGTAATGGTGCTTTAGGGTTGCTCCCAATAGGAACGGACTGCATGTGGTACCGAAGGTTACCCTTGTCATACGCCAGACCTCGACTTCTGGGGTAGGTTGGTCTGAGTGAGGCGACTCTTTATACCAGAGAAACCGCAAGGCGTCGCGGTCCTCCTCGTGTACACCGATCTGAAGGAAGGCTTTCTCGACGTCTGCAATTAGTGCTACCCGATGTTGCCTAAATCTCAGGAGCAGGGCCACCAGGTCTGGATTCAGGTTCGGACCGCCTTCAAGGTTGTCGTTCAATGATCTAGAATTCGGTCCGTGCGAAGAGGCGTCGAACACGATCCTCATTTTTGTCGTGCTGCTACCCTCTCGTAGAACAGCTTGGTGTGGCATATAATAAGCACGCCCTTCGGAACCGTTTATCTGTTCAACCTTCTCGGCCATCCCGTTATCTGCGTACAGCCGGATAGCCTGGTCATACCTTCGCATGAGGTCTGGGTTTTTGCTTAGCTTCCTTCGTAGACTTTCGAGGCGCTTCCATGCCACATCTCAGTTGCATTCTAGGGGCACGTCTGTTTTCCAAGGGAGGCCAACCTCGTACCTTCCCTTCGTCTTGGTGATGCATGCTTCAAAGCACCGCATAATGTCATTATCTGACTGATCTCGGTCCACCTCTTCGAGTACTCCTACACTTTCAAGCTCCCAGAATCTCCTCAAGATGGCTGGCTCTTGTTCGTCTGCAGCAGATATGAGCACTATCACCTGGGAACAGCTGACAGTATCGGAAGTCAACTGTGTGGATCCATGTATTGCCCAGCCAAAGGCGGTTTCCACTGCGGTGAGGCTGTTGCTCAGTCGTAGGATCCTTCCTGTTATACATTCCCAGTAATGTTCCGATCCCAGTAGTATCGCTACTCCGCCACAGTCCAGTCCGTTCAGGTCGTCACCCGAAGTAAGCCCGAGTTCTTCCATTTTTTCAATAACGTCCTTCTCAGGGCTAGGGAGTTCTTGCTCGGAGATGGAATGTGTCTCGAGGGCGTCGATCATGTGTTTCTGGCCACTGTGTTGGTTGCGCAGAATCACTTGAACTCTGCGGTACGTTCGTTCCCTTTTCTTGCCTCCGAACACTCCGACAGTCAGGATCTCGGTCCCGAGCAGTTTGCAGTCGAGACTCCTCGATAGTTCTTCCGTGATGAAGGAGCGCTGGCTACCACTGTCAAAGAGAATCCGAGCTCGCTTTTTCCTGTTTTTGCCTTCCACCCACGCAGTAACCGTTTTTAAGAGTACTGTCGCCTTGTTTTCGTCGTTTACATGTAGGCTAACTGGTGCTTCGTCTTTCTTTTGCTGTGCGTTCAATCCGTCGGCAGATCGTCTCGGAGCATAATCTGGGTCGCACATGCTGGAGGTATGTCTGCCTCGGCACCTGTTGCAGCAGGGTGTACCTCGACACATCCTTGCCATGTGCCCCACTTTCGTGCACCGGAAGCATTTCTGGGCGTTTTGTAGCCTGCGCTTCTTTTCAGCTAGCGTTATCCTTGAGTTGCAGTCGGGTGTTTCATGCTCTTTTGACTTGCAGAAGAAACATTCGAGGCCTTCCACAACACCATGCAGAGCCGTAGCAGTAGAGGTTCGTGGCATGTCGGGATTTGTAGACTTCTTCTGCGCCTCGCGCTTGGTGAAATGGGGTGTAGATTTTCCACCAACGTCCTCTGGCCGTTCTTTAGATGCCTTTTCCTGACTCTCCACCTCGATGTGCAGAAACTCGAGGAGAGTCCGAAGCGCTCTCAGATGTGCGCGATCTGTGTTAGGTCCTAAACTTGTCTGTGACGCTGGTACAGATCTACTGGCGGTGGCACTCTCGGCTTCCCCCTGCAGTGTCTTTCGGTGGTATTCGATGGTCATTTCTCTTGGGAGCGCTCGAAGGAGCACCGGGTAAAGCATTGAACAGTACGATTCTTCGCTCACGCCCAGTGCCTTGAGACCCCGGATGCGAGCTTGCAGGCTATCATACAATCGCCGCAGGATTCTGACGTTGCGCTGAGGTGGAACACGTTGTATGTCCATGAGGCTTTCAATGTGATCCTGGATTAGCGCTTCTTGATTCCCGAACCGCCGCTGTAGGAGATCGATGGCGTCCGCGTAGCACTCTGCTGTGGGCTGAAGTCCATCAATGGCTGCCGCTCTATCCCCTGTTAGTGCCGCCTTTAAGTAGTTAAACTTGTCGCACGGTGTCAAGTCAGGGTTCTGGTGGATTGCGGCATCAAACTGGTTCCAGAAAGGCAGCCAGTTTTTCAGGTGTCCGTTGAACTTGATCAGTTCCAGCTTTGGAAGTCTGACCTTCCTTGATGTTGATGCTGCCAGTCTGTCTCCGTTTTCGTTCAACTGACTGGCACTGGCGGAATGCCCCGCTCCCGTCGAGCGCCTTAACTGGCTCTTCAGCTTAGTTAAGTATATGACAATCTTGTCTGCGTACTCGACGACTTGCGCGAATTCAGCATCTCCGTCTTGTTCCGAAACAAGCGGTTCGATGGCGGAGTCGACGTTGTTAAGTTGGCCCTGAGCTAGTGTCAGACGCTCGATGAGCATCTCTAGCTCAGGTACGTTCGGTCCTGGCGCCCTTAGCAACCCTTCCGCGTCGTTCACCAGTCGAGTTACCTGTGACCGGATGGCCTTGCGCTTTTTCTTGAGGACTTCCATTGTACGTGAAGAGTCACTCACGTTCCAGCTTTGAAGTATCCGCAGCGATGTCACTCCCGGGTTTCGGCACCAAATTTTTGTTGCAGTCGCTGCGGGTCGTCACAGTAATCGTTCCATTGTCACACAACGAGCAACACTTTAATATTTACACCGCTGAGAATAATACATCGACATTCGAAAGCTTGCAAGGTCAAGACGTTCAATCGTTCACGTTCATCGTCGTCGTCGTCGTCGTCGTTCCCTTTTTTTTCTTTTTTCCGCTTTTCGTACGCACGTGCCAGGGCAGCTTAGCAGACTTCTTTCTTTTCTACTTCTACTCCCTGTTCGTCTAACGCCAACAGAGGTTTGTCCGACGTTAGTTGCAACAGGCACTGCACATATGCAGAAGGTAAGCTTTGTCTTACTAAATACATTACCAATCAAGTATTTGGTTTTATCCTGCAAGCGAAGCGGAACATACAAGTGCGAGTATACTGTCCTGAACTACACTTCCAGTGAACAAGCGCGCCATCCAAAGCACCGAGCTCGCTTTTATATCGTTTGGTGCGCTCAACGATCCCCCACTGGAACAAACGCACCATCCAAAGCACCGAGCTCGCTTTTATAGCGTTTGGGGTGGTCAAACCTTTAAAAAACACAATTATAATCAATTCTATTATTTCAATTATTTTTATTCAGTGCGCCTATGAGTTTTTTTGTTTTTTTTTACTTTTACGTTCACGTGCCATTTCCTTAGTCATATAATATTTTTCCAGAAGTCTGACAACTATAGTCTGTTTCATTATAAGTAAGAGCCACATAATCAAATATGTAGACAAAAAAATAAAATAAAAAAAGAACGGGAACACACATTAAAAATGCGATGTAACGGCGCATTCAAAATTAGTCGTTAGCTTTTTAGAGAGCAGCAATTTCGTAGGACGACATGGTTACCCGATGAAGGTTATAAAAAGTAAAGTGCAACTGTTAGCTCGGGGTCTTTAATGTGCATTACGCAGTATATGTGATACACGATCGCTCGATGGCAGGATGCAGATGGGCGACTGAACCCAGGGTCCCTGCTAAAGCCCCTTAATAAAGGCGTTTTTCACAAGTACCGCCAACCATTATTGTGAAGACGCGCAACACACGTGCCACGAGCGGGCGCTCCGCCGCCATTCGCTTATTAATAGACAGTTTTAGTAGACAGTTTTAGTGGACCGTACGCTATAGCTTTGCGTACGCAAGGAGATTGCAGGTCGTGAGTGCGCATGCGCAGAACACAATGGAAGGGCTAGCGTATTGCGTACGCACCCAACGCTGGGGATTTCGCGTTGCTGGCTAGCGGGCCTTGCGGGACGGTCTCGAGAGATCTCGGACCCAACGAGAGCGCCAGTTTGAAGATGGCGGTTGCCTCGACTGGCGCAGCAAGGGCGACGTGGTGTTTTCGATGTTCTGTGTTACGTGAAATCGCGTGGGGTTCAGCTCGGCGATTCTTTCTGGGACCTACCGCGGTCGAATCAGATCGCCCTGCAGCTGAAGGAGTGCACAGTGGAAATGTTCGCCACTCGCAGTCTGCGTCGACGCTGCGATCTGCTGAACGCTAATCCTATTCCCACAGTTCATCGCCGACGGACGAACGACTCTAAAAGAAATCGCCAAAGTTCTCGCTATGCACTGGACATCAGAGTCATGAATTTCATTCCGCGATAGCATTGATAAAAGGTGCCGTTTCCACGGGACGACTGACGGAGGCTCCGTGATCGAATTTGGCTACGCACTCGTACTCGTAGCCTCTGTACACCGCAGAAAAGCGCGCTTGACGAGGCAGCTGTGGCTTTATTTAATCTGAAATAAAATGTTTGGACACTTTTTCTTTTTCAATATTTCATTCCAGGAGCATGGTTGCGCTATAAGCACGCGGAATTCTACGGCTCTAGCAAATTTAACCAAGATCATGCGCGGTGTTCACTCGAAAACGTAACGCACAACTAAATTCGGTCCGAGCAGGTCATTTTTAGCGTACGCTATACTATTGCGTATTGCGTATAGCGCACGCTTTAGCGTGCGCTATTCTAAAACTCCCTAGGGAGTTTTAGAATAGCGCACGCTAAAGCTTTGCGCACGCAAAGAATAGCATCGTCGCCACTGCGCATGCTCCGAACGCAAAGCAGGTTTTGCGCTTTGCGTGCGCAGTTTTAGCGTGCGCTATTTCTCGGAAATAGCGTGCGTACGCAAAGAGCCTTTGCGCTTCTCCTAGGAGGATTCGTGATGAGAAGTTGGCTAAAGCCAAGACGAGCACAGTTAAAAAAAATGGCGGCTTCCAGGATTATGTCGGCGGCTGCTTTGGCGGCGTCGTGAGTTCGACGTCGGCGGTATCCTCGCGACTGCAATTTTCAGTACGGGACGACATTGTACTCGGTTTGGCAGCGATCACCGACAACTTGATGCTTGCCACGCGCGAACATTTCACGGCGAAGGAACGATGTGCGAAGGTCAGTACACGAGACCTCTCTTGCCGAGGCGACGCAAACGGACACGACCGCTCAGCCGCTCGCGTCGCGTTCTCATGTTTAAACAAATTAAAATGATACTCTGGACCATAAAACTCGTTTTTTGTTTCTAAAGTTACAGCATTTCGTGTGTGAAATAAAATTTTTTACTGTATCTTGGTGGCGTCGCAAGCGCGAGATGCTTGGGCTTTTGCGTCGCGGCGGAGAAACGCTATTTTAAAACTCTCTTGCGTCGCGTGCGCTAATACAAGCGCTAAATTTAGCGCTAGGGTGCGCTAAAATTGCGTACGTTATTCTAAAACTCCCTAATATCTCGCTCAGTAAACAAGTGGTTTGTTACCGTTGATCGGTCATGTTGTGTTTTTAGCGGAATACGTCGTTCAAGACCGATCAACGGTAACAAACCACTTGTTTACTGAGCGAGATATTAAATAGCGCACGCTAAAGCTTTGCGCACGCAAAGAATAGCGTCGTCGCCACTGCGCATGCTCCGAACGCAAACCAGGTTTTGCGCTTTGCGTGCGCAATTTTAGCGCTCGCTATTTCTCGGAAATAGCGCGCGCTATTTCCGACGACGCAAAGGGTCTTTGCGTCGTTCTCGTGCTGCGCGATAAGTTGCGAGAGGGCTAAAGCCAAGACCACAGGCCAAGACGATCCGTGTTCTAATCCGGCGGGAATAGGCAAATGGCGGCTCAGAAGGCAGCAGCAGCGGCAGGAGCCTCCTCGCGATTGCGCTTTTCTACGCAAGATGACATTTCGCTGTTAGAAGAAGTTCACGCCCTCAACCCGTTTGAGGACCCATCGCGATGGGCCCAAATCGCAAGCAACCTTCTTTCAGCCACCGGCAAAGGTTTTAGCACGCGAGCGGTACGTGACCGCCTCGACCTGCTGCTCGCACAGTTTGCTGCAGAGGATCGCGCCAACTTAAGAAGGTGAGTGTGCTGCTTCATTTACTGCTAAAGATTATTTAAAGCAATGCGGCGTTAAAGTGTGTGCTTTGATATGAGCAGCAGGTCGAGCTCAGTCGCTACTCTGTCGAAGGTCAGGCACCGAGGAGCAATATAGCGAAAAGGAACACCTCCTCCAGGAGATCGCCGATCTGACAAGAGAATTTCACTACAAGTACAAGGCGGCGGCCGTCCGGAGAGCGGCCCCGTCACGCCAGAAGCTCACAGCCGCCGAACGAAGCGACGCGTCTGCGTTACGGGACACCGCCGCCGCAACCAACTTAGCATATTCCACGGTACATCAGCTTTTTCTTTCTTTTTTCTTTTTATTTATTGATGCTGGGCTCGTTCGATTTACCTGCACCAGCCCACACCGGTGCAGAAAAGGTTCGATGCAGAAAAGTGCAAGGCAGTGTTCCCAGCTTGTATTTTAAGACAGGCTGCACTCTTAACCCTTTGCCTACCGCAACAGTTTTGAAAAAGAAAAACGATTTGAAAATACCGAATTTCTTTATGTGCCTTATAAATTTAGTATGCAATACACAGGCCAAAAACAAATGCTAAAATATTTATTCTATGAGAAAACTTTGAACAGACTGCAAAAGAAAAAGGGATTAAAGTTCGGCTTCACTGCATTACCGCAGACAGTTCACGTCACCTTGCACATGGACGTCCAGGCCGGGCGTAGCAGTACTGCAGACAGTTCACATCACCTTGCACGCGAAGTGAACGCAAAACGTGGAGGAACTGGAGGAGGATTTTCTACATTGATTCTAGTCCAATGCCGATACGCCGACATGGTGTCCTCATTGAAATCGGAGTCGTCTGAGCTAAAATCCAATAACTCAGCTGCATCACTCTCGCTGTTCAATGAAAGATTCATTTCCTCGTCTTCTGAATTTGAAGAGACGTTACAATATCTTCGTTTTCGCCCCAGTTTTGAGGCAAGATTGTCACTACGAACGCAGCGACCAGAAGTTGACGCCGCCATTTTTTAAATCCCCTGTTGTCTGCGTTGGAACAATTTTGTGCCAAATTCAGGAATTTACCAGGTTTTTGTCTTCCGTGAAGCGCCATCTGTCCACAGCAAAGATCACTAGACACACGTGGACTAACCCAGTTCGTCCATGGTAGCGTATTGGAGCCCGAATCAATGTGGACGAGCCCAGCTCGTCTTCGTGAGGAGCGGTACAAACAGTGTGGACGGACCCAGGTCGTCCATGGTAGGGAAAGGGTTAACTAGCATCTATGTGTTCACCGACTGAAGCTGGTGCAGGAGATGTAGGTGAATCAAACAAGCCTACTGTTAATTTCTTTCAAGATGGTTACAGAAGAAGAATGTAAACCAAGTATCACACATGTTGCACTTGCTGCAAAAACTTAAACAAAAGGTTTAAAAGGAAAAAGAATTTAGCATCATTTACAACATCTGGTGGACTTTCGCAGAATGGCAGCGCAACTGCGGACGCATGCCGTGCCTCCACTTCTACTGATGCTGCTGCTGCAGCGTACCTGGCAACCTCTTCGGTCGTCGAGGTACCGGAAAGTGCTGGCAACATATGTAAGTGGGATCAGGGCGTCTTAATGCATATGTGTTTGTCTTAAAGGGCAACTCCGGTCGAAAACCAAACTAAAATAAATGACGGGTATCGCTTTAGTAACCTCAAATATATTACAGCCGAAATTTTACGTCAAAGTGAAAATGCATATTCCACTAGGACCGATTTTAGTGATGTGACCAGTTGCTCTTTAGCAGGGGGCGAGCGGGTTAGCTTTTAGCCAAGCAACACTGGCACAGCACCCTTGTGACATTGGATCGCGGTGGAGCTGCGGTTGATTGGTTGTACCTCTCACCGCAGCGCCGTTGACGTCACGTCGCGACCGTAGGCTGATGATCAGCGTTGCCATCCCTCTGGCGGATAGTTTTGGTTTTTCCGTAGACGCCCGAAACCAAACTTTGAGCCGTGATATTTATAAAACTACACACAATATCGAGAAAAAAAATTTATACCTTGTAATTCGGAGACACTGCTTTAGGTAAAAACAGTTGTAATTCCAAATAAAAAAAATATTGATTGAAGTTGCCCTTTAAGCATGTTTCACATGGTGCAATTAGCGGCTCCAGCGAACTATAGGGGGCGCGGTGGTCGGGCGAAAGGAGGTAGTTTTCGTTCTTCAGCACGTGGACCATCATAAATTTCTTGCACTGCAGCGTAAAATCGGTGTTACATCTAAAAGCAAAGCGATTATCGACAGTAGAAACTTTCGTCTGGTCAGTGAGTAAAAATGACACGGTGGAAGCATAAATATGACTACTGGAAACGATGAATGTTTCTATGCTGCCTGCGAGAACCAAGCAGCGATAGCAAACGACAGAGTCGAAGTGACCTCCTCTCTTGCGCTTCTCAGCGTGGCCGCCATGCAGCGTTGATTTCGCTGGAGTCACCAATTCTGCGGCCAAAATCACTGCCGCTAGCGATCACAGCACCGCTAATGTGGAAGAGCTTTTAAGCTCGAGCTGTTAGCTTTAATGCATGGTACGGCTGCATTTTAGGCTATCCATTTTTTTGTATTTTGCCGATTGAAGGCCCATAGGTTTTCGGCTTTAGTTTATCATAGGGCGAGACAAAACATATGCCTACGCTTTTCATTATCATAGATGCTGTGGCCAGTCCTGCATACTTGAACCTCCAATGGAAGCACCAATGGGAAACATAATATTTAAGAGTTAATTTCTTCAGAGGTGCTGTTTTTTTATATTTTTTCAGGGAACACTTGTGTTGTGGATACGGCAGAGCTCCTCTCGGCGGCAGAAGCAGGCGACACATATGAAATTGTTGGTCTTGACGTGAGCAGAGAGTTACCTGCAGCTGCCACGGGCACCCCTTCGATCGATGTTGGAGGCCATGCACCTGCAGCTTCACCCGAGCAGACCGTGGAACCTGAAGCTAGCCGTCAGGTGCAGAGGGTTAAGCTCCAGGCTTCCCAAGCAGCTCAAATGTTCTATAAACCTCCTCAGAACATTCCTTGTGATTAGGTGAAGGGCTTGAGGTAAGGGGAGGTGCATGAACCAACACAAAGAGAGAAACATAAGCACTACCGTTTGCAGTCGCCACGAGCTGAAACCCACAGTGCCTGACATCGTTCGGAAAAAAAATTCTTGCTCTGTATGTTTGTATATTGAAATACCTTTTTTACAGTTTTTACCAAAGTACCTCAGGGGTATCCTGTTACATAGAAGACAAGTCTATCTTAATATCTGCATCAAAGAAGAAAAGTTGAATATTAGTTGTGAACACTTAATGTAATTCACGTGCAGTAAAAGAAAATCTACTACGGTAATTCATTTCACAATCTGAGCACCTTGATCTCACCTGTGTTCTTCAAGGCCTAGGTTGCCTGACATTCCTGTTGAATTTGTGCTTCCTACGATCACTCTGTGCTCGTTCATGTGCTTTGTATTGGTGCGTTCCAGACTATTTCATGACTCTATCATGTTTCCCGTGCCTGCGTATGTCGTTGTGGGGCTTCTTTTCTTGTAGGAAGCTAAGGAGGCTGCAGCAGAGTAAATGAAGTTGCTGAATATATTCATGTCAATTTGCAACTCCATGATATCCTTGCCCTATGTTATTCTTTCGGATCAGATATGCAGCTGGGCAAAGTGACCACAGTGTAGACCTCCAGGAAAGGTTTGTGCACATTTCTGGAGAAACATTTGTCTAACATGCATTTCATATGTTTTTCTTACAGGAAAAAAACAGAAAATGAGAATCTAATATTTTTTGAAAAAAGATTACAGTTTGAACAGGGCACCCGAGAGAGGGAGAAAAAGCTGGAGGAGCGGCGGATTTCATTTGAAGAGAAGCGCCTTTTCCTGGGGGGGAAGCGCCTGGCCCTCGACAGAGACAAGCTCCAGCAACAAGTTTCGTGAGTGGGAGGAGGAAAAAGAGGAGAGAGCTCAAGAAAGGGCAGAAAGAGAAAGGGATCGTGCACAGGAAAGACACTTTTTTCTCACACAGCAGCAAGCCATGCTGGAGCTCGTGCAATCAATGATTGCTAATAAGTTCAAATAGACAGCAGGCTTTAAGTTTTCACTTTTATTTGTTTAATTACCATAACATAAATATTTTTATATTCTTCCACACATCTTGCAAGTACAAATGTAGAAATGGAAGCTCCAATAAAGATTACTATAGCCAAAGAAAACTTGTTCAAAAGAAAATAACAGCGTCTTTTAACTCGGCACTCAGAAAATGACTAGAAAGGCCACTTTATGGTAAATAAACAGTGTCACCAAAATTATGTAGAACATGCGAACTGTATAATCTCATGGGTACAATATCTGGACAGCAGCTAAAGAAGTTCTGCATGAAATAGCGCTTAATGTGCAACACTTAAAAAAGACGAGAAAGACCACGTTTAGGAAAATTTACAGGGCCCACCAAGCCTATACGAGACATGCAAACTGTGTCTTATCTTATAAGAATGCTAGCTGCCACGGTTTCATGGAGGCAAAGCACCAGCCTACGGATACCCAGTTGGTTTGAATGTTTGTAGAGCTGCCCGCAGTTTGACGGAGGCTTATTGCAAAGAAGGTGCCATGATATTGAACTTTCTCTTGTACGTCGGAACATCTCCAGATGGATGAAATTAATCCTCAGTCCTGCACTGGGCCACGCCAGATACACTTTGTCGGTTTGGCACGTAGAATCCCCAAAAGTAGTGCTCAGTAGAATGGCCCAACCAGGGGAGGTCGCTCGCTCAAAGTCGAAGTGGTGGCTGGGCCGGGGACAACATGGGAATTCTGCTTGATGCAGGTGGCGGCCAAAGGTGACTGCTGAAATCGTCAGTTATTGAAGGGCTCATTCAGTAAAAACATGAAACGCCCACTGATTGAGTCATCTAATCACCGACGGTTTAGGCAGTCACCTAAGCACCTTAATACGAAAGGGTGGTGATAAGTGTAGATTGCCAGCAAAACTGTTGTTTTCCTTGGCCTAGCTACAATTTCGGCCTTGAGCAAGCGTACCTTCCCTGCTCAAGCTGTTCTATTGAGCGCTATGTAATGGAGCACTGATCTTACGAGATAAGACACAGTTTGAGTGTTTCATATAAGTTTGTTGAGCACTGTACCAAGAGTATCTTAAAGGTTGTGTCTGTCCCGTACAGAGGGTCTCAAGTATTGCCCCAAGTTGGGTGCACGGAGCCCAAAGAACATACCAGTCTGGCTACCGTACAGGCATGTATGACAGTTAGTAAAAATTGCCCCCACCCGATACATTCTCCCCACATCCTGCAAGTACAGCTTCTGGTTTTTCTTGAAGTTCAGGAATGCGAACTCGGATACTATTTTACCGAACCCCCACTCAACAGCTTGTCGCACAGTACTCATGCCACTGTTGAAGAGCACTTGCTGTTGAGTGAGGGTGGCACCTCCGTACGGCCTCATCAGAAGCCGCCGTAATGGGTACGCTGGGTCGCCGTAGATGGTGTAAGAGCGGCCCTGCACAAGCTTTTCCAACTTTCCGTAGAGGCCACTTTCGCGCAAAATGCCTGCATAAAACAGAGAAACAAGAAGGCACTGTACTTTTTACCACTTTTAAAAACAGAAGTTGCATGGTATTGATTCGCCAGTGTGCTCATTTGGCATGCTCCGTTTTGCAATGCAGTGTGAATGCTGCATTACAATACTTTGTCCTCTGTAGAACAGCACACTCTTTCAGAGCTAAGTAAATATTTTTGCAGCGAACCTCGAAGAAAGCAGGGGCTGCATAAATTGGAAGAGATATAGTTAAATCGGAACATGCCACTGCATCTTAACCAAAAATGAAGCACAAAACAGCATTTCAAGGCTTGTTATTTAAGCTCAGCGACTGGACTAGCTCATTTGAAAGAATCGCATTAATAATTGTCTTGAACACATGATTTCCTTCGTGATTTGTATTTGGTTCGGTGCTACCTCTATAGCAAAACTGCTTATTCAGTGTTGCTACAGAGTTGAAATGCTGATTAATGGGAAGTGTTAATATCAAACGTGGAAGCATGCAGGTCCAGAACAGCTGCACCCACCACCGTCATGCCTGTGTCCCGGATAGGGACCATCAAGTTGGCAAATGATGCCGTTTGCACACATTATTGACTGGCACTTCAATGCTTGCAGCCTCTTGTGTCCAGAAAAGTAGATCCGCTGGTTGGTGGAAGGGCGGCAGATGGGCCTCGCCGTCCCATCCACGAAACCCCAGCAGTTTGGGAGGGGTGCACCTCGGGCATGAACGGCCTGCAATAATGGTACTTTCTTAGCGAGACCTTTATGGTATCTAAAACATGATTTGCTTTGATCAAGTGTCTTGTTTTTATATTTAATTTTATTCTCCAACAGCTTGGTGTCAGTATTCCTTATTTGAATGCAGCTTTTTATTTTCTTTATTTTAACATCTTGCCAGCTATGAGGCCAAAGCAGGTTGGTAGGCACACTTAACTATTAAAAATGTTATCAAGAAAACCATGC